ACGCATCTAACTCCAGCAGGTCTGGAACAGCTGCACCTTTGGGAGCGAGTCACACTTCTCTGTGTTCACTTCTCTGAGTTGTGAGTCTCAGGGACAATACCAGGGCCTGGAAGACATGGGAGACACAATTGTTGCCACTAAATAGCTGAAGGATTTGAAAGAGAAAGATTCAATTTTCACCAGCGGCCACGGAGGTACAACCAGGCCCAAAGGGAGACACCGCCAGGAGCCAGATTCCTGCCCAATATGAGAAGGAAACATCTAGAAGTTGTAGTCCTTCAAGGTTGGAGTGGGCTTCTCCACCCTTTTGAATCCAACTGGTGGCCTGGGTTCAAATCCCGGCTCTATCCCTGACACGCTGTGTGGCATTAGACATGGGACTTGTTCTCTGTGTCCCTCAGTGTCTTTGGGTGTGGAGTGGTACTATTGGTATCAATTATTGTGAAGATTAAACGTCAATGTGTATGGCATGTAGTGATTTGCCTTCATGCTGTTTACTGATTTATCAGAGGGTACCTTTGAGAAGTTCTGTAAGGATCGCACACAGTTCAGGGTAGGGTGGAAGCTTTTCCAAGGGGTAGGGAGTTTCTCGTTTTAAAGGGGAAAAGGAGAGGATTAGGGCAGTAAGAGAACTAGCAGACCAAGCTGGGACAGCAGAGAGAGAAGTGGAGACATGCATGGAAAGTCAGAGCGGCTTCAAACCTGAGCAGAAGGGAAGGACTCACCAACATTTCAGAGCCAATAGCCTGGAAAGTGGGAGACAGAAGATAGGCCGGGTGGGAGGCAGGAGGGGGTTCTCCTGGAAGCATGGAGAGAGGGGAGAGGGAGGCCACCTGACGCATGGGCCATCCAGCTTCAATTTTTGATGCCAGATTATTTAAGAATGGTCTTGGCCAGGGGTGGGCCAACTCCACGAGACAGGCTCTGCTTAAATGATGATGTCTTTGTCTTCCTGTGCCTGGCTTGTTTCTCTTAGCATGGCTAGCATCCCCTAGGCTCATCGGCGTTGTTACAAATGACAGGACTTCCTGCTTCGCTAGGGCAGACTAAGGATCCCACTTATATGTGGAACTTCAAATAGTCAAACTCAGAGAAGTAGAGAGAGAACAGGGGTTACCAGAGGTGGGGAGG